CAAGGACCTGGGATAGGCAGATGTTGTTTAGTGGTATTAAAGGTATAACTGCAGGATATAAGCTGTTCCAAGTAAAGCTGCCTTTTGCAATTGACTGATGGTGATTTTGTCAATGCCGATGGTGTTCAAGTGGTGCTCCAGACATTCTTGAATTGCACCCAAGGCGTCTATTACTACTACTACTACTACTACTACTATTATTATCATCATCATCATCATCTTCTTTAGGTATAACTCAAGGTGGCAAACATACTTAATACTCCTGCCTATTTTCCTCACAACCACCACCCTGTGAGGTGGATTGGGCTGAGAGAGAGGGACTGGCCCAAAGTCACCTAGCCAGTTTTCATGCCTAAGGCAGGCCTAGAACTCAGTCTCCTGGTTTCTCAGCCAGCACCTTCACCACTAAACCAAACTGGATTGCATGGAGGCATTTTAAATTCAAATGTTTGTGACCTTGTTCTAGAAAAAAGGCAAAAAAAATGTTTTCACTGTATCTTGCTTTAGTAGTAAGTTCTTTTGTAAGCTATTGTTTAGCTGTTACAGGGTTACTCTTCACTGGAGTCTGGGGAGGAGATGTTTACTTTAGCATGGTGAAATAGGTGGATACTGACATCTTGTGGGGGAGAAAAATGTAATATAGCTTCTTTTCCTCTAATAAACAACAGTATTTTCATATAATCCTCAACTGTCTGAACTATATTAAATCTCATTCTCTAAATGTTTGTGTATGTAGTTAATTATATTTAACTATTGACTTAGATTCTGTTTTCCTTGTGGGTCTTGCCCCCTTAATACTAATAGATGGTTTTCAATCCAAGTGGTCATTATCTTTTAGGTCTAAACTACCTGCATGTAAGTTTATGCCATCTTATCTATTCCCACAGGATTATGATCAGGCAATATCATTTCTTAAGCCATGCATTATGGATATAAAATGAGTCTGACTTAAGTAGATTTCCTAACCTTACCAAATCAAAAAGCAGATTAACACCTAAGTAGCTTACAAAACTAACAGTCCCTGCCCACAGAAGATAGCTCCTTGTGGGGCTCTCCCTTCATTTGTATTAGATGGAAGATATAATAAAGCTTCCTTCTTACAGTGTTTATGCCCCTGTGGGGATGGACAGTTGAGTATGTTTCTGCACTATCAGCTCTACAGTGATATTGGCAGTGCTGTTATTTTCCGAATTCTGTCTAGGATACCAGGTTACTGAACCCAATTTTACCTTTTTTAAAAGAACTTTCCAACAGCAATTCCTCTCTAATATATAAGGTTGCAAAATTCTGTGCAAGAACACGTAAAATTCACAGGACACTGCCAAACAATAACTGCTTTCTTCGTATATAGATATGAAATGCAGTATTTGTATAGCTTGCTTTGAAAATGTTTTTGTTGTGTAGTAGTTGTTGTATAGTGGTTGATAGTTGTTTTATCTCATTTTTTTTGATATTTGAAGACTTTTTACCTAATATTCTAAATTATAATTTAAATTTTATTCTTATTTTCTATGGCTGTGCTATTTCTATCTTATGCTGGTCAAACACCATCATAAACATTTGATTGGGTTTACTTTATCATTCCTGACCATCCACATAGTATTTCATTATGACTTTGGGCCAGTCCACCACTCTTAGCCCAATGTAACCCACCAGGTTCTTAGTGTGCAGAAAAAGGGGAGGAGGGAGTAATATGTATGTCACCTTGGGCTCCTGAATGAAAGGCAGGATAGAAATCTAAAAACCAAACAAATAAATCACAATATCATGCTCAGCAACCAGCATTTTCTTTGAACTGAGATGATCTCATTTGCATAAATTAATGCCATTATCCTATTCTTATAAAACAATAAAATTATTTTGGACAGTTAAAAAAACTGGAATGATATTAGTTAAGCTCCTATTGGATAGGATTCATATATATATGCTGATCTCATGAAAACTGTTCAAAATGTATTGGACAGAAAATACAGAAACATTCATTGAAGTGGTATAATTGGCCCAAAAGTAGAATTTACAATACAGGTAAAATGATTTTTAAAAATTATGTTTAAAAAACCTTAAAAAGTATGGGAGAGGTAAAAAACCAGACAACACTGAGAAATACATGGGATTATATAATAATTCAGATTTGCTTTAAACATATAAATATTTCAAGCAGATGTATCTAGTATTATTATCTTCTTCAAATTCCAAAGCAATCAGTGAGTCTGAATCTTATTTTAGCATACTTGATTAACTGGGTCACTATATACAAGTTGGGGATGAATGCAAATAAAACAGAAGTTGGCGTAGTAGATAGAACCAAGTGAAGAGGAACAGCTTATCTTTTTGCAAGATTTTTTTTCTGGAATAAAACTTCAGCTGTAAACAAGTTGAATATCTCCTGTGACCTAATTCTATTTAAATTGCACTGAAAATGGGGAAATAAAACCACAAAACTCTGTAACAATACAGAAAAGTTTGTCCTAAAGTGCTACACTATTAGTAATCATTATCAATGAACATCTGTAGGTCTGTGGTTCCTCTCTAATCTTTGGACTGATTTCACTCCAATATTTTTTAGGGCAAAAAACTGGAAAGACTATCTTAAGAACATTAACAGAGTAAGCGGAGGAATATACATTTTTACTCAATAATTTGCAAGCCAGATTAAACCAATTTTGCAGTTTTGATATATCTGAATCAGGTTCTTTCCAGATTATGATGTACAACTGCCCAATTATTATTTTCATGAAGCCATGGCTTTCTTTTGAGTTTTCATTTCAATATATTCTCTATTTCAATCAAGGCTTCCTTCTCATGGGCTTCAATTTCCTTAAGCAATGCTTCTTTTTCCTTGAAATAATCCCGGAACCATTGAATGTGTTCTATTTTTTCTTTCACGCTTAAGTATGGATTTTTGGAAAGTCCACATGCTACAAGTTCCATGAAGTGGCGAATTGGTCCTTCTTTGGGAAAGTCTGCCAAGTGCTTATCCAAAAATATATGTTCATAAAATTCAGCATCATCTTCAAGTCCTGACAAAGTTAAGGAAAAGAATGATACAATCACTGTAAAAACACTTAATGAAACTTACAAGCTCCCTGAGCAGACTGCAGTAAACTTGTCTTATAGTTTGCAAATTATGAGTATTAGTATTGTCATCAAAGCCCAATACTCATATTCATTCTCTTGAACTTCAAAAAGCCAGCTTGATAGTTGTTTGTTTTTAAAAATACTGCAATCATTTTTAAAAATTCAGTACAATGGTCAGCTGACCAAGTGGGATGAAAAGCTCTATGTATCCTCTTGTGCTATCTGCATGTCCCAAAGAGACATTTAAATTTTAGAGTCTGTCATTCAACTTATATTCTATTAAAGGGATTTTTAAAAAGTGAAACTGATAAAACTGAAGAAGAGCAGGTTAAGGTTATCTGGGGGGACCACATTCACATAGGCTTTATTTTTTTCACTTATCAAGTGAAATTACTTCCTGTGACCTCCATCCAAATCTTTGAAGGAGCCCTTAATTCTCATGACATAATTTTGGGGACATGAAGTGGAAGGGACAACTATCCATCTCCTTCTTTTGCCAGAAACTATTATGAGCAGGTGATGCTAACTCAGAATTGGGCTGACATGGATGTGTTTCCATTTATTTATTTATTTAAAAAAATAAACTAAAAAAACAGCTATATTTGACACTAGACAAAAAAATAAGTCTCAAAGACAATATGCAAATTCTGCAAATGACTTACCCATCTTTTAGTACATTATATATTATGGACTTATTTATTTGCATAGAACTTTGTATACCACTTAGACTCTGGGCAGTTTTAAGAGCCATGGTACAGCCAGCATATAATAAAACCATTCCCAAAGAAAAGAATGAAAAATCCTGATAAAATTACCATTACTAAAACCAAGTCCCAAGGATAGACCTTATTGAAAAGATGCCCCCTAATCATCATTAGCAGCTACGTGCTCAATGGAATAGGATGATCTTCCTAAAGGCTAACAGGCTGGGCACTCACAAATCTCCAGGGGTAAGCTGTTCCACAGACTGGGACTAGCCCCAAGAAGGACTATGTCCAGACCCCTATCCCTTCATCTCAGTCTGGCAGGAATTCACAAGATAGGCAGGATCTCACCAGCAAAACATTGTTCCAGCTTCCCCCAAATCCAAAAACCTCCATCCCCAACATTCACTGGGCAAAACCAAGCCCAGAGCCCTTTTGGATACTCACCAACTTCATTGTTAATTGGAAACTCCCAAAGTTTTCCTTCTTTTGTCCACTGTATCATCTCCTCAAAACCATTCTGTGGTAGATGCTGAAAGTTTGATGCGATAGTTTTGGCAAATTCCACATCCCAAAGTGTTGGTATTGCTACTACGTCTAAAACAAAAAAAACACCAGAACAAGTAAATGCTAGTAAGCCAAGTTAGCCACAGAAATGTTATTTCCTGGAGTTGACAAAAAGTATCAGAATTGTCAAGATTGTGAGAATTGTCAAAAAACCAGCCAGTTTCAAAATTCCAAAATATTGGTCGCTTTCTGCTGCTGCTACTGCTAATGAATGGAAAAATGCACAGCAAAGCACAGCACAATAAAATAACAGGTGTTTTTCCATATCATTTTTCTCCTCAATTTTCCTTACAGATTTTCTTGCTTTATTAGCTTCAAAACTGACTGAATAATGGATACTTCAATTAAAAAATTATTATTATTTTAAAATATTTTAAAAAGTGTCTTAAAATGTACGATGAATGAAGAGAACTGTAATGATTCTAGGTTTGTTTGACATTATTTGAACTAGCAGGAAAAGCAAGAAAACAGTACAATTTTATTTCTATGTGTTTCAGTCTGAAGTGAAAAATTAAAAAATGGAGTTCTCTAGATTTTCTCTAGATTACATATTTAAGGAATCTGTTCCTTAAAACAAATGCTGTAGTTATATGATTTAAAAACAACCCAGATGATGAATTCTTTGAAATACTGCATGTTTCAAAAGAGAGAGACAGAGAATAGCGTGGAGAATTGTCTTCTGGGGATATGGCTTTTGTATAATAAGCATGTAAATGCTGTCAAATATCTAAAAAACTATGTTTTGGAATGCATGCTGATAAGATGCCTATAAGAATACCCTTTCCAAATCCCATTAAAATCTAAAATGCAATGTCTGCCACAAGTCTCTCATTATTGGGAACTTAGGATGCTGCTTTAGATCAAGTCAGATTATTGAACTGTTGACAGCAGCTTTTCCAGCCTTTAATGTACTGTATTGGCCTTCATCTCTCAGACACTTCAGGCAAGGAATTCAGGGAATTGTAGTCAAAAGCATCTAGAGAGCATTATCTGGACAAGGCTAGTTTAGGCATTCAGACAGGATTTTAAAAATCGTACCTAGAAATGCTAGGAATTAGACTTCTTACATGCAAAGCATGTGCTCAATTGCTGAAGTGAAATTCCTTCCCTGGCTGAAAGCCAAACGTCTCCATTCATCATAATTTTCAACTCTTCAATTCAAACAACAGATAAAATCCTCTACGTTTTTATTGATTTACACTGTCTTTTAGGGTACCTGGTTCCAAATTCTTCATTGCTGTTAACCAATTGACCTCTTCTCCAAATACACATAGGGAGTTTCTATAGGCTAAACACTGATTAAGATGTTTTGTGGCATCTTCAAGACTAATGTATTGAGCATAGCATGGGTGAGTTTTATTATACTCAAATTATCTTCTTGGTATGATTACTGCAATCATTTTGCCACTAACCTGTTTCATGTGCTCCCTCTGGCTTAGGAGTGAAAATCTGTAGCCTTTCTCCAGAAAAGAGATTGCTAAGAAAAAAACAAGTTTTAAAATTTTTCATTTTGCTAGGGAAGTCAAAAGATCCAGTGTAATGAAGAATTGTGAATTCTGTCCCAAACTGTGTGAAATCTTAAACATACTCCTCTGATGTGTCAGTTTTCAAGCAATCATTGCCCACGCATTTTTCAAGCATGTAAAAATGAAGAATAAATCCATACATTGACAATTTCATATCAGACATAAATGAGGAAAAAGCAAGTAGCTGTATTGGTGTACCTTGAGAGAATGTTCATGAAAGACAGAAAAAAATATAGAGAAATTTTAAGATATGCAAATGACGATAGAAAGGTAGTGTATAGAATGTATGCTGCAAGGAATAAATATTTGTCAAATGAAGCAAAAATGACTTGTTTAAAAGTACGCTTCTGCCCACTTTGTTATATGGAAATCAAAGTTGAGTATGTCAAGAGAAACACAGAAGTAAATGGAATGCAGAGAGAATGAGGTACTGAATTAGTATGGACAGTAAAACAAAAAGAGTTAGGGTCAAGAATGAATACAAAAGTGATGAGTGCAAAAGTATGTTGAGATGGTTTGGTCACATGAGAGCATGAATAAGGATAAAATTGCAAAAAAAAAATGAAGATAAAGTGAATGGGCTGTGAAGAAGTGGAAGATCAAGAAAATCATGGTGAGATGGAATTGATAAAATCCTCAAAAAGAAAATGGTGAGACGTTTAATGAACAAAAGGCAATGATTGAAGGAGTGCATGGATGTGGTAGAGGCAACAATGTTTTGTAGGGTAACAAAGTATGGAGAGGTACACTGAATGTTTTAGTACAATCTAACTTTAGCTATATTTCATTTTAGTTTTTTATATCATGCTTTACTTTCTTTGCTAACTACTTCTTACTCCCTTTCTGAATAATGTTGCTTACCACAAAACACTGCTGAACCCAAAAGGGAATAGTAAGACAGAGATAATGCTGACTGAAAATAGCCCTAAAGAGAACTCTCTAAAATTAGTGACCTATTTGATGAATTTTATTTATATCATTTTTTTTCAATAACTATGCTATATCACTGATATAGCCTAGTTGGCTGACATCAGGTCCACAATAGGAATCCCCTTTTTGTTTTGGATATCCCCTCTTTGCGTGTTGGAAAAGAATAACATTGAACTCAAAAATCTGCATATTAGATTTTACAGACCAGATAGCCATAATTTATATTTTTAACCTGATTTTTGTGGCATATTAAAAATGTGACAAATCTAATCCATTGTAGCACATCATAATACAGAGGGGTCATAATGACAAAGAATGTGGAATGCTTCAACATAGCAACATCTGACCATCCTTGCACAATGATTTGTAAATTCGGGATATATATTTAAAGAGATACATGCAGAAAATGATCAAGTAAAGTACCTTTTAATTCTACTGAATTCATTAATATGTGCCATATTGCCTTCTTCATCTTCATCACACTCAATTTCACTGAATGCTCTAAAGGCATCTCGTTTAACAGGTTTTTTTCTAATTTTCATGCTTGCCATTATTTTGCTGAAATTAAGAATATGAATTAAGAATTAGCATGTATTAAGTAGGATGCCCAGTACAGATTCTTTGTTCATGTTAGCTATTCTGGTGCAATAAAGAAAAGGAACACAAACATGAAAATTTAAAGAGAAATTCAATTGTGTGAATGTTCTGAAGCCTATTCTTTTTTTCCCTTCCATCTTCCCCTTCTTTTTTTTTTTTTTTCATCTATGTAATGTCCCACAGGTTCTTAGTCTGGAAACCAAAGAACAATGACTATATTTTCTGTGTTTGAACTGTGGTAATGGGAATCTTTTCAACTGAAGAACAGTACCAAGAATGCTTTTAAACAAACAAATAAACTCCACATCACCATCTTTACACAATTTACAAAATAATTCAATTTGGTCTACCTTCCTCTGGAAGATCAACCAGAACAAGGGTATCTTCCCTATTTTCTTGGAAATCAATAGGAATAGGCACATATTGGCAATGATCAGTGATAATGTCTTCCCAAGCATTAGGGCTATAACAGATAAAGCTCTGTTTAATCCTCTATTATCTGTAAGTAGTAGACTGAAAGGTAGACAAGTGAGTGAAATAAAGTTACCAAGATATACTGACTCCAGACCAAAAAGAGCTCTGTAAGTCAATATAAGCACTTTAACTAGACTTGGCTGATGAAGGTGTGAAGATGTACCTGACTGCTGATCTACAGGACAGGCAGAACATGCTGTATCAAGAAAACTTCCAGAACGTTTACAAAGGAAGCATCAGTATCAGTTTTCCAATATACAAATATATGGATAGTAGAACAGGAACCTGGAAGCATATCTGAAGAAACATACCTGGCCACCTATTTTTCTAATAGGAAGACTGAATTTAATCACATTCCCAGGATGCTGCAACCATCGTAAATACTTGCCGATTACCAAGTGCCAAAATCGGGTTCATGTGACCATGGGGACACTGTGACAGTTGTAGGTTAAAGACCTGTCAGATCCCCATATTGGGTCTTAAATAAATAAGAATGCACAGGGCTTTAACTATAGTCTTCATACTGACCATATGCAGGTAGTCCTTGACTTATGACCATTCTTTTAGCGACTGTTCAAAGTTACAATGGTGTTGAAAAAAGTGACTTATGACAGGTCCTCAACCTACAACCTTCACAGTGTCCTCACAGTCACGTGATTGCAATTTGGACACTTGGCAACCGGCAAGTATTTATGATGGTTGCAGCAACCCGGGATCACATGATCACCATTTGCGACCTTCCTAGCTGGCTTCTGATAAGCAAAGTCAATGGGGAAGCTGGCAGGGAAGGTTGCAAATGGCAATCATGTGATGACCCATTTAACAACCGTAGCAAAAAAGTAGTAAAATCCAGTCCCTATTGTGGCCGTAAGTTGAGGACTATCTGTACTCCATCAACTGACATAAGGGCAGTATCTGCTATTCTCAAACATCTGCTTCAAGATGTTAATAACATTACTGGTAATCAACAGACATTAATGACATCTTACTTCATAAAGCTCAAGATATATTGCCTCTTCCTATAGGTATTAAACACTCTTATCAGCACAAGGATCCCAAGAAACACCACACGCCAAACTACTTTAACACAGCCTTTCCAATTTAGTATCTTTCAGAAACACTGGGCCTACAGCTCTCGTAATTTTTAGCCAAACTGTCTAGGAATGCTGAGACTATAGTCCCAACACATCTGGAGAGCACCAAGTTGAAGAAGGTTGCTCTATTTTTTTCAGTTGTTTTGAAGGAAGCTTGTTTGTCACATTTTTAAAGAGGTATCAGCTATACTGACTACAACTTTCTAGCTCAGAGGTTCCCAAACTTTCTGAGTTCATAGCATCCCAAGTTGTTCCCAAACTGTGTGCCACGGCGCAACAGCAAACTCACTAACAGTTACATTCATTAAGGAGTAAAATATCCCTGGTGCCCCTGTGAGTTCGCTGCTTACCTCTGGCACTATTATCACATTGTTGTTTGGAAAATGGGCTTTCTGGAAAGTTTTCAAGTTTGAGTGCAATTTTTATATACAACATGCTCAAGATATAATCAGCCTTCTCATGTCACAGTCATAAAGGGAGTCCTCTGCCTGAGGATAAGCCAGGGACTAATCACAGGCTAGGAGAAGAGCAGGCCACCACCTATTTTGAAAGAAAATACCTGGGGACTGTCTAAACACCCCTCAGCCTTCCTTCACCTTCCTCCAACACCACCAATTTAAAGTACGGGGCATATGTACACCCTCCTCTTCTGCCAGACATTATTTTACAGCAGAGTTCTGACTGAGGAAGGATGGTGGGATAATTACACATAAAGAGGAACAAATGTCATTTCACATCACCTGAAGCACCCACAAAATCAATAGGAGTCCTCAGCTGAAGGCATCATGCAACTTAGTGTACAGTTTGACTTACATCTTCTATCTCTTCAGCTTGATGTTTTGGGTGTGAATGAAGGTCTTTCTTCCCCCTCCTTAATAATTGCATAGAAGACGACAACAGACCCGTTTTGTTTTTACTGTTTCCTCCTTGTTTGAGTAAATACACTTAAATATTTGAAGCACACATGATTTTTAACATATAGTTTACTGGTAACTGGGACAGTAAAAGAAATCTAGAAAATATACTTAGAATCAGGAAGCACAGAACAGAGAGCTATCTAAAATATAAGACAGAATATAAGAAGTAGACAGTATTTAAGTAAAATCTTGGCCAGAGAAACATCCATGAAAGCGACTTATAAGAATATCCAGACTTGACCAAAATTTGAATAGTAAACAACCTGAGAAATCTACTGGCCATTATCAAGCATGTTGAGGATATTTTACTCAAAGTAAATTGCCCATGGAAACATTTTGGAAGAATGTTATCCTGAACTATCAGATTCAGACATATGCAGTGCAACAAAAGCCAGCAAAGTTTCCCTAAACCGCTGTCCTGCCAATGGGAAAAGCGATTATCTCCATATAAGGGTCAATAGCTTTAATTCCATCCATCTCTGAGATGAGATTAAAGGAAAGGCTAGTGGCAACTCAGGCACTGAGTTTTAATTGCAGAAACCACCAGCATGTCGGATGGTGTTTTCTCATCACTTACAGGCAGTATAATGAACCAACCAGTTATATCAACTTGGCAAAGACACCACAGTTTATTTCCTCCATGAACTGGCCAGCCCTGCAATTTTACTTCAAAATCACTATTAACCGAAAGAGCAAACACTCTATAATGTATTCTTTTTTTTCTCCTAAGCAAAATGTTACTATTGTTGCTGAGCTTTTTGTAGCCCCTCTGAGCTGGAATTAAACCTGTATTATGCTTTTTCTATGAACTGTTATGTCAGGGCACAGTGGGATGGGGACAGAAATTGATATGAAAATACACAAAATTAATGTCTCAACACCATGCTATCCTTTGAATAATAGCGATCAACAGTTTAAGGAACTGGGATTCTGAAAGGGTATCTTAGTTCGAGATTTTGTTATTTATAATGAAGCTCAAACCTTTTAATGTATTTGTGAAATTACACCATAATTTCCACTGAGAGAATCTTCATTCCACCCTCAAAGTCTGTACTGTTATTATTTCCATTTAGCAAATATTCAGTCTTTCCTATATTTACAAAACAAATTGATGGTGAAGATTTAGTAAAGCAGTGACGCCTGCAGGTTATCTTATATCACTGCAAAGAAGAAAAAAAGTTGAGCCATAATTTACTGGCAAAAAACCATACAAGGAAACACAAAACTATAGTCAGTTACCCAGGGGTCCATTTATTTATCTCTTCTTGAGAAAGATATATGATTTTATGAAAGATCTGTGCATGAAGTATTTTCTATTATACCCTAAGTATTTAAATCAGAACATATATCAACCTAACAACTGTTTGATTCAATAAGGAACTATTTAAATGAAACACAATACAAGTTTCTATTAATGGGTAAATATTAAATTTGAAGAATTAAATGTCCAGTAAGGATGTGCAAAATTTGTAAATCCAGGAACAGACCGCTCCAGAAAACTGTGGAATGCTTCATTTCCCTCTGGCTCCACTGAAACTTCTCCAAGCTGAACAGTTCAGCACTTTTTAGAAGTAAATCCTCTGAATAAGCAACAGCTTGAATTGTCCTGGACGTAATGTTCCAGTCAAAACAGACCTGTTCTGGGGCTGGAACATCCCTGGAACACCTCAAATCACTTCAGGTTTTGAGGATTTATGTCTGGAAAGTACTGAACTGTCCCCCACCCCCACCCCTATCCCTCCAGATCAGCAGGAACTGAAAAATGTCTGAGATGATCTGGAGAGAATCAGAACATTCTGGAGTTCTCCACAATGGTCCATTCCCAGATCAATGGATTTTGCACATCCCTAATGTTCAGGAGAGCAATCCTGGGGACTTGTTAATGCAGTTGTATGCCATTTTTATGCAGCTTTAGGCAGACTAGTAGTGGTTAAGGTGCAGGACTGGAAACCAGGAGACCATGAGTTCTAGTCCTCCCTTAAGCATGAAAGCCAGCCAGGAAACTTTGGACAAATCACTCTCTCTCAGCACAATCCACCTCACAGGGTGGTTTTTGTGGTGAAAATAGGAGGCAGAACCATTACGTACACCACCTTGAGTTTTACAAACACAGGCAGGATAGAAATCTAATAATAAATAGATAAAAATAAATATTTTTATTAATGTCATTGGAATGCTAAAGAAATGTATAGATGATATTACCATCCACAAATTTCATCACACTGTTTGCAATACTAAGTTACGAAGAAATTACTAGTATAACTTTCAAATAGATAGCTTATGGCATAATATATCTAAGAGGTTTTGAAGATGCCATAAAAGACTGCTGGTTTTATGGCCACTACTAAATAATAGCTGTAATTTATAAAATATTACATGAAATAAAGTACATAGCACATGTAAAATAACAGCCTGAGCCTAAACTTCAGGAATAAGAAAATATACTGTTCTGGATGGGCCTGTACTCTCTTTAGGAAATGAATCATCAGGTGAGCAGTTTACTGACACCAGATAGCCACATAGTATCATTATCCACTTCAGTTGATAAAGCAATTGGAGGTCTGCTTTCCTTGATTTATGAGAGGCTAACTTCAATCTGGGATTACTGAAATGCATTATTTATTGGGTGGCCCTTGAAGATGGTCCAAGGAACTACAGCTGGTTCAGAATGTGGCAGCCTGAATACTACGCAAGACCTCTTTGAGGTTCCATACCTATGCTGAAAGAGCTTCAGTGATTGTCTTCTGAACCCAATTCAAGATGCTCATGATGGTCTGTAAAGCTGCATATAACTTGGGGTCAAGCTACACTCAGGACCATCTCCTGCCAATTCATCCTGAACACTTTGCAGGTCTCATGATTGATATGTTCAGCATCAATAACCTAATTCAGTTTTCTCTGTGGGCCCCATTTTATGGAATAATCTGCCACTTTAAGCAAGCATCTTTCTTGCTAATGTTGTGGAGAAAGTTAAAAACCTACTTATTGCCCAGGTTTATTAATGCCACTGTTTTAGCTTCTGAACTCTCTATTATTTTTATTTAGTATTTTTAAAAGATGTGATTTATTTTACTCTTTCTTGTAAGCTGCACAAAGCTGTAATAAATACATCAGGTGCTGCTGTATTTGAGGATAACTTTTTTTTCCATCAATTGGGAAGGAAAAATATTCCCAAAGTATTGGTTGAGCCATCAATGTAACAGGGCAGCAAATGTTGCACTAAGTTATTTCTAGCAGTGAGAAGAATATTAAATCCTTCTATGAAATATTTGCAAAAAAATGCCCATGAAATTGTCTCCAGTTGTCTTCCCACATCTTTATAAACATGAAATCAAAGTGGAATCTGGGCAAATAACAGCCAAGTAGACTCATAAGACTAATTTAAAAAGCAACGTGGGAAAATTTGGGAAAAGTAGATATAGAGAGATCACAGCACTATATACTGTAAATGTATCGGAGAGATAAACATATTAAATAGTGTTGATTTTTCTATAATATAATGGTTATGGGTTGTCTTCAATTCAATTTTGCTTGTTAATCTGACAAAAATGAATAATACAGTGCTAAGAAATGCAAAATGATCTCACTGAAATTGTGAAGAAAACAAACAGGAGGAGAAGTGAAAGTCTGCATTCTTTCCTGATCAGGAAAGCATTCCTTCACTCAAGATAACTGATATAGTACTAATTTTTATGCAATGAATAGATTGGATCCTTCTTCCATATGTTGAGGCAATGTTGTAAGGCCCAACAACACTAGAAAATAATTCATTGTACAATGGAACAAAATTTGAAAGTTGTAATTCCATTTCATCCTGGGATATTTTTCCTAAACTTTCTCAAACCATACATTTCTTCAAAATATACTGAATGGCATTGCATATGTTAACACCTGCAAGGATTTTATACACTTTTATTGGAAAAGATCATTGATTCCCTCTATGGAAGAATGGCTAACCAAACTGTGGGAATGTGGTTTGATGTCTAGAATAATTTCATATTTAAGAAGTAAATCTGAGATACAATTCAATCTTATTTGGAAACCATTTCTAGATTATAGCTCTACACATGGAATTGTGCCACATTCAAAATTTGGGTCTAGAATTATATTTTAATTTAACATATAATCTGCATATTAGTTACAGTGCTCTTCTAATGTGCTGTTGATTGTTTATAGTTTTTCCTTTTTCCTCTTACTGATTTCAGTTGTACTAGCCAAATAACTTTCAAGCCCAACAGAGATGCATTTGGACTAGAAAATGGGCACGAAATGTCTTATAGTATTTTCAGTTCTTAATTGTCTGTTAGAGCATATTAGCCATATAATATTTTAGATTTGGTATTTGAGATCTGTTGGCTATCTGCCCACATTTTATTATTTATACTGTTTTTAATTACTTGTATCTTATATTCTTTTTAGTCTTTAAATGTGTATTTGAAAAAATAATTTAAAAAATATTAGTTTATAGGATGAATTTGATTTCTTATACTGTATGTGTTTTGATATGTCAGGGCTCTATATGGTAGGCCAGGCAATACACTATCGTTCTAGTATTGCTCTTAGAATAGCATGGATATTGTTTACCCTTAACAAAAAATGGTTAAAGGTCATAATTTTTAATAGATCACTATTATATTTCTGTTTGCCATTTATAAATTTATCCATTTACATAGATCCATTTACTTTTCTGCAATAAACTGAAAAGGGTCATAGATATTAGGGCTGTGCATTGCCATTTTTTCAGGAACAAATGTGGAGGGCAAAGATGGGATGCCAGGAAGCACCTCAGCTGCTGTAAAGAGTTGTAGACAGGTGCTACGTTTGCCTTCCATGTGCTCCAAAGCACCTTTTGGAGGCTGAATCTGAAGTGCTGGACAGCCCAAATATCTTCCTGCTTCAGGCTTATTGTAATTTGGTTTTGTGTAAGTTGCTTTGCAGGAAGCTGGCTAACAGATGGCACTTGGATGGATTCAGCAGGTTTAGTATGAATGTGTTTTATAAACTTCACTAATTAATCTCTTGGTTAAGCTTGATTATCCCAAAGCCATTTCTAGTCAATATTGAAAAAAAAAATCTGAAATGCATTACTGCAAATATTTCAATACCACTTGGTGCTGCACATATGACTTCACACTCTTTTGTGGAACTTAGCAAAGGAGATAGAAGCAGAAAAATGAGAAACTGCAGCAATGCTCTGCATATCATCAGCTTCAAAGAAATATGGAAATGAAGAGTTTGCCCAAGACCATTTTAAACTCTCTGCCTCCAAATCAAAATACACATTTTAAAATAAAGCAAAAGAAGGCAAACAAAAGCAATTATTCCTATTTGGGCCTTTCAGTGTGACAAGCATATTATGGGAACAGTATTATAGCTACAAACCTTAGGTCAGCAGTTCCACTTCTATGCACATTCATTTCTTCCTTATGTTTTTTTACCAAATGCAACAGTTCTGAAGTCGTCTTTTGTTTATCGAAAGGGAGTGAAGATGCAACAGCAGAGGCTGCTGCCTCTAATTCTGGAATATGCTTGTTGCTGAAAAAAAACCCCAAAATGTAAATGCCCATTTTACATTCTTTGTTGTCCACATTTTACTAACCTTCTGAAAACAGGCAGAAAATTAACAATGAATATAGTGAAATAAAGCATCATCCAATTTCTTCTGATGGTCACACTGTACTAGCAATGTACAACTGATAGGCAACTTCAAGGACCTTTCTCTCCCATTTTTTCTCAAAGATTGACACACCTTCAAATTGAGGACCGTTCTCTGTAAAGTAGGACACGTGTCCACTGGATTCCTTATTAGTGATGGGAAGGAAACATTTTCCAGGCCTTAATTTTTCTATTGAAAAATAGCTTCATAAATGTCATAATCTAATTAGTAATAATTAAATTATGCCTATTGCATAATACAGTATTAGGCAACTTCAACATTTCAAAGTTTTATTACTGTTTTTCAGGTGATAACCCTAACAAATACTTTAGATTATACACTCTTTTGATCAGAAAAGTTTCCATTTCAAACTGGCCATTTTCCTATTCAAATTGCCTTAATTTGCATAGGAATTTTTCAATTCCTTTTTTCCCATGGGAAATTTACATCATTATTCATAAGACAAAATCTTTGTCCTCAGGAAAATTTGTTCTGAAAAATGAATCAAACCCAAATATATGATTTTTGATATTTAGATCCAGCCATCCTATGATAAAATCAAGATCAGGCAGACTCCAGATAATGTTACATATTTTTCAAACTACAAAGTACTAGCACCAACAGGATACAGCACAAGAAGTATTCTGGTTACCTTCATATTTTCATTTCCTTTCATATTTTCATCAAAGAAAAAGACCTACACATTTGTATACAAAGATATATCAGTAACCTTTGCATGTATCTTTGCATATCCTGTGTAACCCAGAAGTGGTCAAACTACAGTACTCCACATGTTGCTAGATTCTCACTCTCATCAAATTTTAGCTCTCATCAAGCAGTTACTGTAAAGCAACAGCATCTGGAGGACCACTGGTGGCTCACTCCAGATGTTATCCAGTACAGATGAAGGAGTTTTAATTTACTTTCTTCTGCCTGTATAATCTTTTAATATCCTAGTCCCTCTCATGAGTTGCAGACAGAACTTCTTCTGCCTAGTTAGCTGAACAGAGTTCTCTGACTAGTGGATGATCTGCCATTCACATCTGAAAGGCAGAAGCCAGGACACTGGAACAAGCAGGAAGACTAGCCAGTGCTTTGAGTGAAAAGCAAAATGAAAAGGGAGATGAAAAAAATTAACACAAGGACAGGAAACCTAGGATTGCTGAGGAACCTGCATAAAGCTTACTGTGGTGATAAACTGCCAGTGTCAACATAAACAGCACCAGGTATGCTGGTAAATGGGACTGTCTAGTTCCTGGCAGATGGTTGGGCTTTTTCCTTTGTTCCTCACCACCACAATCTGGCAGATCATTCACATAGGATCAGAATTTAGAAACAATTTAAGCAGAGAACTCTTGGGGTCTTACTCAGCTGACAGGTTATGAATCCTTGACTGACGATGCCTCCACAGAAAATCAGAACAAGGAATCTGAAGCATTTTTCCTTCTTTTCACAATACAATGTATAAACCCATTTCTAAATCAGACAGAATACATACCAAGTGTCCTTTTGGCTCTTTATTATTTCCCTTTTAAATACTTCACTTATTTGATGACCATATTTGCTACCCTTTTTGGTAAACACCTCTTCAAACAACCACAGTATTTGTAGACAAACAGCATGAAAGTATACTCCCATAATTCTACCTTTTTTCTTCATCTTCCAGCAATCTGCTTCTAGCATTGCCCATCATCTTTGAGGCTTTCTGTTGTTCAAACTTCTTCTTTGTACTTAGTTCTATTTTCATTCCACGAATTAACTGTAGCAAATTTATCTTTGTTTTTACTTGTGTTTTCTGCTCCTGATTTGATGAAATATTTGTATTGGTGCAGCTGAGTGGGTCATCTTCCTTAGTGCAGAAGACAGGGGTGGTACTAAACAACTTGTGTGCTTTACTAGAAAAGATACAGAAAACACAGATGAATGGTACAAACTGATTTTTTAAAAATTTTACAACTTAAAATCTCATAACCACAGGTTTTTATGAGATTGTGCAACTGTGTGCAACAAGACTCAAATGGAATAATACGCGTAAACATTTAATATGTTTATGGTCAGTTTGTTACAGTTTTTTTTTAATGTCAAAGTACCTTAATGTCAAAACATACAAAATGTGCCTTATTTCACAAAGCTGCATCTGTAGCAAACTCCACTAGATACTAGTGTTTACTGTCCTTTACTCTTAAAATTTACATCAAAAAACTCAATTCCAGGAATGATATAACATGTTTCAATATAAAGCTGTCAGCATCATTTAATAATAATCACATCTTTGTTTTTGAGTTTCTCTAATGATTAAGGTTTCTGTGCAAATATTTTTCTGGAGAAGGAGCTTATCTTCTGCCAATAGCACACTGAATTTAAACAAAAAATCAGGTGCTACTTTGCATATAAAAACCGACCATAGGTTCCTAGCAAGAACCTGTTAGGGTTTACAGAATGTAAATATCAGGTGAGAAAATCCCAGAGATGAGAAGGAATTCCCAAATTCCCACAGTATGAATTTTGAAGAAAGAGAAGTAGGCTGGAGATATTCATCTCAAAGTAGCTGAAACACACTGCAGTACTTTGTTGAGGTTTTACATCATTTGTAATAATACATGTGTAAAACTACTGTTGCTGAATCAGTGCCTATTCACACAATACATTAACACTACTCTGTTTTACTGAATTAGTCAAACTTGTAGCAACCACAACCAAGCCTATTAACCAAAAACTCCTTACTCAAGGGGAGGGTGGAAAAGCTACCTCAAGATAGCTAGTAGTGTAAATCTGTGCTTATATCTGTACTGCATGCGTGAATTCAGTTGATTTGCATAAACCTTACGATATGGATTCCAAACTCTGAGGGAGCTGAAATCGCTATAAACGAGGCATTTTATCACTCTCTCATCTCTAAAACCTACTACCCGTGCATGCTTCGTCAACAAACATTTGGAAAAAGAATGATGCAGAGAAGAGGCCAACCCCCCTTGCAAATATGTGAAAGGAGAATGCTAGTTGCCTTCGAAATCGGGCATCAAACTCTTATACTCTACGGGGGAAAGTCACCTTCTTATCCCCCAAGCGGTACCTGTACAAGACCACAACGTCCTCCCCCGGAGCGCCGGAGCGAACAAGAGCACAAATGCCCCCGGGGACCCTGCCGCTCCTCCGCCACATTATTCTCGAAGCAGCGAGGAGTCACGCACACTCAATCTTTCTGTACTACGAAGTGCTTCCGCCACAAGGTTCCGACATGCTTGCGCCAGTCCGCCCGGAACACACGCGCCCCGAATATTGGTTCCGCAGCTAGATAACCTTTGTAACATTGAAAGGGGATGCTTCCAGAGAGGGAAACCTTCGAGCTCTTTTGGAAACCGACGTTTCTCGTATGCTTCCTAAACAGGAGGGAAAGAAATGCCGCCGTTTAAGTATCTATGTGTGCTTTTATAGTTATTTTTACTTGTAATTGTACGCCGGCCAGAGTCACTTTTATGTTAGAAGGCGGCTATATAAATACGATAGATAAATAAATAAAATCTATTGCATACATTCTAACGTTCAAAGCACCAAGAGGGTAGGGATATGAACTTTCAAAAGCCTTAGAGTCTGTTTTGTATAATACAGATTTTTATTTTACTTGATACAGTAAATCTATATGCTGCCTTCACTCAAGGGACACAAGGCAGCATGTATAGCCCCTCCTCCCCCATTTTTTCCTAGAACAACTATCCCCCGAGGTAGGTTAGGTTGAGTGATTTTCCCATGATCACCTCGTCCTAATCCAACGCGTTAATTTCCACTGGCTTTTCTTTCACCTCATCTTTTAATTATTTCGTTCTAGTTCCATTTTGGCCCTAGCCAGCATTTTCAAAATGCAACACTCGTGGATTCTGAATGCATCTGCCAGTTTAAATGAGTCGCTAATCATATAGGACACTTACTGCACGACCAAGTTATCTTTACCCAGCGAGGTGAAAGGACTTAGCTGACCCTGGCAAATCTTGAAACGCTAAGCAGAGCTGGACTTGGTTAATACTTGAATGGAAGACCAAGAAATATCAGAGCTAAACTATGTAGGCTAGACTAGGATTCTGGAAAAATATAGACAAATCACTTTTGTGTTGTTGCTGTTGCCAACAAAGTTATAGGGGCCTGACAGATCTGACTTATCCAGAGTCACCTTTGAACTTTAATCTCAAAGTATTTCCTACAGGATTCACTTTATTTGCCTTTATTTCTCCCCCCACCCCCTGCTTCGTTCTCCTACTGGTATTTTTCATTCCTTCTTTCCCTATTTTATTCACGTTTTACTAGCTACTGGGAAAAAACGTGGATGACGAATTGTTACTGGTATCTTATACATTTATAAAAATAGCAAGCAAAAAAGCAGTAACGTTTTCAAGGAGGCAAACGGGAATTACAAGCATAGCACGGATGGTTCCCATCGAGCTCAGGAGATCTTGGAACGAACAGCCTGGGTTCTTTCACGGTTAAGCCAGGGTTGGCTGGCTTCACACAACCCGCGAAGCTAGGAACGATGGTTTCCAAACCCTACTGACCGGGTTCACCTAACCCTTTAAGCCCCAAACCGAACAAGCCACACTCCGCATGGCGCGAGGTGACAATCAGGTCTATACACAGCATGCAAAGTGGTAGATCCAAGAAGGGGAATTAAAGACGCTCCTCCGCTACCAATGCTTGAAAGGTGAACTGCAAAACGCCCCAGCGGCTCCCCGCCTCCCACGCTCCCTCCAGGGCGACCGAGACCACCCCCACGTGGTCAGCCTTCGGGGAGGGCTTTGGGAGCAGCAGCAGCAGCCCCACCACCTCCGGTTCCGCTTCCCAGCTGCAGCTCCTCCTCCCGTCCTTTCCTGAGCCAGGCGCGTCGGGTGCGGGCGCCCCTTGCACCGCAGGTATATAGCGCTCGCTGCAAGGAGAGCGAGCCGAACCGTTCGGGAGAGGCGATGCAGCTGAGGCAGCCGGAGGGAAGCGCGGGGCTTTCGGCGGCAGCTTCAGCAGAGAGAACCAGCCGGCTTCAGCGGACACCCACGTGGGAGACCGTCCGTCCGTCCCTCCTCTCTCTTTCGGGGAACTGCTGCTGCTGCTGCTCCTCCTCTTCGCCCTCTTCGGTCTGCTGAGATCGGTCGGTGCGAAGTCTTGTTTTCTTGACGCTCAGTTTGGGGGGTCTTCGTTGGTCTAGACTTTCATCTCGGTTCGGTGCCGGCTTCTTTTTGATAATGCAACACTTGATTGTCTACTGCCTTCCTGGAAGATGCAAGCTGCTTCTGGCTTCGCATCTGGAGAGATGGATGTAGCATCTGCCTGCAGTTCTTTAAAATAGCTGAGCCTTTTCCCTGGATCAGCTGTGCCATAAGGCCCGGAAAAGATGCAGCTGGTTTAAAGAGTTGTAGAGAGATGCTACGTTTGTGCCCTTGTCCTCGCTAAGGCACATTTTTGGAACAGAACCCAAAGCATTGCCCAGTCCTGATTTAGGTATACATATACATATCATAGCATGGCACATGAATTTACCATATACCTAAATGTATATAACTTACAGAAAAGCATACCAGCACACATTTTGTGTATAGATATGATCTCCTTATTACCCCCCATGGTAAACAGTAATTAATACATTTTTGGTTGTGGCAATGGCTTCTCCTGGAGGATCTTGATAATAGAAATATTTCCAAATTTTCCAAGTAACTTAAATATGGCATTCTTATTTATGCAATCAGTTGTACTTTTATCAGTTTATTATTGTGCTTTAGCTGTTGCTAACTGCCTTGAGAATATGCATGCTGAAGAGAAGGGTTGCAATTAATGTTTTTCCTTGAAGTAAATAAATACATGCATTTTTCTGGGAGATTTAGTAAGAAAACTATTTTCCAATAATATATTCTTTTTGAGCAATGTAAAATGTTAACTAAGTTAATATGATCAAGACTTTTCCAAGCTATTCATTCATTCATTCATTCATTCATTCATTCATTCATTCATTCATTCAATTTATATAG